TTTGTCAGAGAAAGCTAGAGATTCAAAATTGTGTGAAAATAATTATTAACGTGGTTTAGAGACTTGTACAAGCCGCAGTTTTATCCCCAGCACATCGAGTTGGTACTCCAACCTATTACTCACAGTCCTGCTTTGTAAAAAAAATAAATAAATAAGAAGATAAAAGGGTAGTTAATAATGCATGTTAATTGAAAATATCAATAGAATCACAGTTCAAATGAATGCATAGGATTAATTTCAGTATTACCGAAAACTTATAGTGTATTTCCTCTTTTGCAGCCAAATTAGGATCACACCGCGTTATGTTTGTTACATGCTCTCATTCACATAGCATAACTTAAAGTGACACTAAACTCAGGGGTTAAATCTTAAAAATGCATTTAAGTACCTGAAATATATAAAAAAATGCATCTTATTTGTGTATCACTAAGCTATAGCTCCCCAATCATATATGAATTGGTGCTGACACTGTCTGGAGGGTGGCTACTTTTGTTCCCCATGGTCCCTGTGTGTATAGTAAAGTAGCCATGTTTGCTCCCGTGATAGACTACATCTCACATTAGGTTCTTAATTAGTACTGAAATTATAGTCTATCATGGGATTTACAATTCAGAACAAAATGAATCGCACATGTCTAGTGGCTACTTTACAACACATACAGGGACCACGGGGAAAAAAAGTAGCCACCCTCCAGAAGGAAGGTCAGTGTCAGCACCAATTCAGAGATGATTGGAGGATCTACAGCTGAGTTTTACACAAATAAGATACATTTTTGTTAATAGCTAAGGTACGTGAATGCATTTTTAAGGTTTAACTCCGGAGTTTAGCATCACTTTAAAATATATCTAAAAATTGCTGCTTACCTCTTGCACTTTTCTGAAAATGTAAACATTAAGTTCCCTCCTGCTATGTCATTTTAAGGAGGGGGGTTAACAGTTACTGTTTACCATAATTAACCTTGTCTATGCTGTGCTGGCAGATTTCATTTAATCAGTTGTAAACTAGATTTAAACCCTGTCTGTCCTAACAATGGGTTAAAGACCTAGACGCTTCTTACATTGTATGTTTATGAGGAGAATCTCAGTTTGTCCCCACTTTGTCCATCCCTACTTTCACTGAAATTATTTAGGGTAGCTTGCAGTCTGGTCAAAGGCCTGCTCCAAAGACGCAGCTAGAAAGGTAAGGTATATAAAGTAAGGTATTTAGATATAATACTGTAAGCCCTCAGGGGCAGGGCCCTCCTTACCATCTTGTCTTAAATTGTATTGTAATTGTAATGTCTTCCTTATATTGTAAAGCGCTGAGCAAACTGTTGGCGCTATATAAATCCTGTACAATAATAATAATAAAAATAGTAATAATAATATTTAGATATGCTATGTAAATTGGAACACATAACAGACACATAGTGGGGTTCTCTAAGATTTGACAGCAAAAGTGGACCTACACGTTAAATCTTTTAAGTAAAAAAAGTACCTGTTTTTTCTATATTAAAAAAATACACTGAACACCATCATGCCACTTACATCCTGGTAAAAATGGGCATAGTCTCTGGCAATCAGGTGCATGTGCATATTTGACATTATTAGAGACTGTAAAGAATGTATTGGTTTTAACCAGATAGACAAACTTTTTAGTGAGGCAAGAGGGTAAGCAGGATGCAAGTTCTTTTTTATGTAATTAGCGCCTATGCCTGCCCTTATTTACATATGTAATTATAAACTATACTAAACAATAAGGTTTTTAAGACATTAGCACTTTTTGATTAGATTACTTACATTAAGTTAACCTGTTCTAAATCTAAATCTATATCTACATACTAGGGCTGAAGATTATTTTTTTTAATGGCTATCCATAGACATGTGATTATTTTCTGATTCAGCCAAAAGCAGCTCATTGGGTGGTTGTCATCACTTTGTATTGGGTTCTTGGCTCTAGGCCTAACAATTTGCTTACAATATATTACTGCATCCTTCTGTGTAGTAATGCAGAAAGGGTCCCTGACAGATTTGCCAAAGCATCCCTTTAATCACTGACATGTCTAAACTACCCAGGTTCCGTGGTTAATTAGATTTACTTAGCTCCTTATCTACACTGAATCAGCCACCAAACCTGAATAATATATCTGTCAGTATTTAAGGGATAAATTGACAACCTGATCCCTGCTTCTTTGGAGACAGAGGAGAAGACTCACAGAAGAGCTGAAAGTGAGATCTAATCGCTCTAGGCAGACTTCCAGCTATACACCACTGGCTGCGGGTGCAAATGGCTCAGTGGTGTTCATTTATTCCCCAAAATCCAAACCAGACCAAAGTAAAGCAGCTGTACATCTGATGTACATCTACTGAATCATGTTTCCTCTTTCAAATTACTTCATAGAGCATGACACCTCACTGCATTAGAGGTGGAGGAGCGGAGTCTGCCATGTCATGCTCTATGAACAATAAAATAGTTTGAAAAAGAAATAAAGGACTTAGCGGATGTGGCGCTTTTCTTTGGAAAAGTGAGATCTGATGTTGCAGACCTAAAGCTGACAAAAAAAGTGCATTTTCTCTTCTCAAAATTCAAAATTCACGTTGCAACAAATACTCAATCATGAGCCAGAAAAATAAAATTTAGCGTCACCTACAACTCTAACTCCTCCCCTCATCTTCCTCTTTCTGTAGGGGTCCCCCAAGGCTCTGTCCTTGGACCCCTTCTCTTCTCTATCTACACCTCCTCCCTTGGTAAGTTAATAACCTCACATGGCTTCCAATACCATCTCTATGCCGATGACACTCAAATCTATCTTTCTACTCCACAACTCACCCCCTCTGTGTCCTTGCATGTCACCAGCACAATGGGTGAAGAGGGTTCTTTACAGTAAGAGCGGTTAAGGTCTGGAACTCACTGCCATCGGCAGTGATTTCAGCCAAGAGTGTAGATTTGTTCAAGAAACGTTTGGACAATTTCTTGAGGGACCGTAATATCCAGGGATACCAGTATCCCTAGGAATGAGATGATGCATTGACCTATATGGGTTGGACTTGATGGACGTATGTCTTTATTCAACCCCAAATGCTATGTAACTATGTAACTATGTAATCTACTAACTGACATATCCATCTGGATATCGCAACACTTCTTAAAACTCAACCTGCCAAAAACTGAGCTCATGATATTTCCTCCTGCCCGTGCACCTTCCCCTAACTTTTCCCTTGAGATTGTTAACACAACTATCCAACCTTCCTCCCATGCCAAGGTCCCAGGTGTCATCCTTGATTCGGACCTCACCTTTCTTCTCCACATCCAATCACTATACAAATCCTGCCACCTTCACCTTCGTAACATCTCCAAAATACGCCCCTTCCTCACCAAAGAAACCGCAAAATTACTCATCCACTCACTTGTTATTTCTCGTCTCGACTGTTGAAACTCCCTCCTCATTGGCCTACATCTACACAGGCTATTCCCCTTCAGTCCATTATGGGAAAGCAGCTGCCAGACTCATTCATCTAACCAACCGTTCAGTGTCTGCAAACCCCCTCTGTCAATCCCTGCACTGGCTTCCACTCGCCCAAAGGATAACATTCTAAATCTTAACAACCACTTACAAAGCCATCCACAACTCTGCCACCGGCTATATCTCAAACCTTGTCTCAAAGTATCACCCTAACCGTCCGCTCGGCTCATCCCAAGACTTCCTGCTTTCCAGCTCACTTGTCAACTCCTCCCATGCTCGCCTCCAGGACTTCTGTAGAGTCTCTCCCATCCTCTGGAACTCTTTACCCCAACCTGTTCGTCTGTCACGCACCTTGACTGCCTTTAGACGTTCTCTAAAGACTCATCTCTTCAGAGAAGCCTAACCCACCTCAACCTAACCGCTCAACCATCACATTCTCAAACAATTCATCCCCACACAGCTACCTCCTCATGTATCACTTCCCTTTTAGATTGTAAGCCCTCAGGGGCAGGGCCCTCCTTACCATCTTGTCTTGAGTTGTATTGTGATTGTAATGTCTTCCTTATATTGTAAAGTGCTGCGCAAACTGTTGGCACTATATAAATCCTGTATAATAATAACTGCAAAAACTGACTGAGGTTAAAACAGTTTGCGGTGCTCACACACCTTGTGAATGAAACCCTCTAAATCTAGGAGTCTAAGTAGACCTTGTCTCTACTTGTTTTTCTGGACTAGGCTTGCTAGGGAGTTGAGAGAAGGAGACTTTGTTTTTTGGTGCCACAACACATGACAAAACGCGTGTGAATGATTGTTTTGCACATGTACAGGCAATTCCATTAAAGCCTAAGGAGTTTTGCAGAACTGAACATAAAGATATAAACAGGCTCCTTCGAGAAGAATGGGATTTCTTTCGCTGAGCATTGACGCTTGTAGGCTTAGGTGCAAAAATTCTCTGGTGTGAATGGGGGCTGAAGAGTAATAATTAAATTGCAGTGTTATACTCTCAACACTAGTTTGGAAATGAGAAAGTATAAGTTTGTTTCCAATTCTCAACAGCATACTGTATATTTTAAATTAGATCATAGGGCATGCCCAGTAAGATACAAGCTCAGTAATTTTGCCTTTACTGAATCAGTGAACACTGAACAGATCATTAAGACAATGCAGCTATTGCTTGATTAGTGAGAAAGACACGTAGTTACACACTAGAGTGCACTTTGCTAGCCAAAGCTTTAATTAGAACACATCTGACAAAGAGATAAAAATTACATTTGCATGCTGAATTATTCCTTGATGCTACTGCTGAAAGGCAGCCACAGTGCCTGTCAATAAAGGGTACCCTGCTCAGTACATAAAGGCAGACTTTTATAGATATTACTTTCTTTAGATTATTATGTGTCAAATGCTATCATTTTGTAGTACTTGCTTTTTATGTTATAGAATAAGCACAGCATTTTACTAATGTACTATTTTTGATGCTGAAAATGTATGTCTTTAACAATATGGTGCTTCATTCAATAAACACATTTAATTTTATTTTGCTCTTGTTGGCTGGCAGTACTACCATTGCTCATTCCGAATGACAGGGGAAGGCTGGCTGCTCTGCTGTGGTCACTATCAAGATGTCCTCATTGTCGATGCAAAGACCTTGCAAGTCCTTCATAGTTTCAAGTCACAGTCTTCAGATTGGATTAGTTGCATGTGCATTGTTCACTCTACCAGGATTCAAGGTACAGCAGGAGGATACATCTATGAGAATAATTAACATTTGACCTAAGTCTCTCCCAGGGTATGGTCTCATGTCACTGTGCAATCTGAGTGTCATATTTTAGGCAACTTACTGGAAATGTATGTGTGATATGTGGTTTTCAGTGGCATTTTAGTAGTAAATATTAGTGCAAGTATAACAATACTGTAATTCCAATAGTAGAGTAGAAACAGATGCAATTTACTTTATCAGTATGATATGTAGTAATTTTAGGATTTATAAGTATATGTTTATATATGTCATGAATATGTCTCTTATTCCTACTAGAACTGCAAGTATCTTAAATCAAATTTTGTTCCTAAGAGGATATATTTTCCTATGGCTTCTCACCTATTGGTGAAAATACTGAAGAGAGGTGTTATTTATTTATTTAATTATTAATTAACTTATTTCAGGTATTTATATAGCACCGACAATTTACGCAGCGTTTTACCTACTGCACATTCACATCAGTTTTTAGGCTGGAATTGCTAAAACCATTAAATGAGATAATTTAATTAGCTCTCCAGCAATTTTTTTATGCAATATCTAATCATTCACATTTTGTATATATATTGGACATTTAAGGGCACATGTGTGTAAGGTATTGGCAGGCCTGAATGTGTGCTTGTACTGTACTAGACTATAAGTACTAGAAAAATAATGGATATGCCTCTTCATAAATATAGCAGATCGTACTACAGGGCAGGAGATTTGTGCCCACAGGCTTCCACTAGCTAATAAAGAAAGCTGCCAGTAGAAGATGGTGGAAAATGCCCATCTATGGTCAGTGTGCCCACCACCCTGACTGTAGTTGGATGGAAAAATACAAAACATAGTGCAACCTATAGTATAACAGCAGAATTCATACACTGATATCATGTTACATTATTCACTTTGCACTTTTGTTTTTTTCTGTAGAAGATTCATTGGTTGCAATATCAGCTGCTGGTGACCTAAAAGTCTATAAAATGTGCTGCATTTCTTTTCTTTTGTTGCAATATTGTTGCCCAAATTCCCTCAGTGGTTGTCACCATTTCCTCACAGCATCTCCTCTCTGTACATCGATGCTTCCTCTGACATACAGGTGTTGTCACCCAATAGAAATCGCTAACAATGCATAGTAGCTCCTCCCCCTGCTCCCACTCTTATTGGCCTGCCCCTAACTAAATGTCTCTGAAATGTCATATACAGCTATGTACAGGTGAAACTCGAATAATTAGAATATCGTGCAAAGTTCATTTATTTCACTAATGCAACTTAAAAGGTGAAACTAATATATGAGATAGACTCATTACATGCAAAGCAAGATAATTCAAGCCGTGATTTGTCATAATTGTGATGAGTATGGCTTACAGCTCATGAAAACCCCAAGAACCCCAAATCCACCACCTGAAAAAAGTAGATTATTACATGCAATCAATAAAACAAGGATTGTACATAGAACAATATCGGACCTCTGAAAAGTACAAGCATGCATATGTACTCAGTACTTGGTTTGGGCCCCTTTTGCAGCACTTACTGCAATTACTTTTGCACGATATTCTAATTATTCGAGTTTCACCTGTATATACAGTAGAACTCTCTATATAAATATTGTATATCTGTTTTGTAAGTTCAATGCAGATTGGAGGATGACGTTATGTACAAGTGCTTTAGAGAACATGTCTCCAGCCCCTGCTGTACTGCAGAAAATGAAACATGAGTGGCCATGTGACCGGTAGAAAAAGTCATTTGGCTGTAAAAGCCTTCCTTGTGTAGGCATCAAAAAGTCCTGAGACTGGGTGTTACCATCCTCCGCTTTAAGATAACAATTGTCTTACATGAATTATATAATTTGTTTTTTTTCTGTTTTAAAATGTTCTCAATTGGTCTCCTTTTGATTTGGTTTTCTCACTCTATTATTTTATTAGGAAAAGCAAAATGTATATGAAACTGAATCCCAGTGCCTCGAGATGGCCAACTACTGTTCCGTGCGCTTCTGCACATACACAGAGCGGCTGCTGCTGGTGATTTGTTCCACATCTTGGAAGGTGATGATCATCTTGTTACATGTGTCCTCTGTTTCTCTGGCAGTAAGAGCCATATCTGTAATAAATAAATAACTGTTTGTGTTGATGTTAGATTGATATCCAGATTTCTTCTCACTTTATGGAGATGTTAAACTGGTAAATTGTCACTTCAGATCTTCTGAAAAATTGAAATTACATGGCTGATATAAGAAATATTTTATTTTCACACATTCGGAGGTTAGCGCAGTAGCTGCCCTGAAAGCAAAAATCAGTTTTCCATTATTTGAAGATGTAGCTAGATAACAGCCTTTTGACAGCAATATTTGCAGACTATGTAAAAGCCCTTGTCCAAAACATAAACACTACATATTCAGGGAAGTATCAGCTTTTTAGATAATAAACTGTATTTTATTAAAATGTTTATCTGTAATAAAATCTATTGACTTGCAATAGCACCTAATACATACTGTACATATTAAGTAAAATATTGCACTAATTATCATTTTAAGAACAAAATGCAAAACCATGTTTATTTTAAAGAGGAGCTATAGACCACATTTACATATGTGCAGTCTTATGTGGCTCGTTAACTCACACTGCATGCACCATTTTTGCTGACTCAGTGCACTACAATGCACAGCATTGCATTCATGTGCATTGGAGGTTTAAAATGAAGCCAGACTTAATCATTTTTCAATATATGTAAAAGGGATCAGTTTAAAGTGACACTAAACTCAGGAGTTAAATCTTAAAAATGCAAGCTCGCTCCCAGGATAGACTATGATTTCAATACTAACTAATAAACTAAATGTGATATTGTAGTCCATTACGGGAGTGACTTTGGATCGGTGGCTACTTAACAACATACACAGGGACTATGGGGAACAAAAGTAGCCCCCCTCCATAAGGAAGGCCAGTGTCAGCACCAATTCAGATATGATTTGAGGATCTACAGCCGAGTGATACACACATAAGGTACAGTTTTGTTAATAGTTACGGTACTTAAATGCATTTTTTTATATACCTGCTGAGTTTATTGTCACATTAATGATTCATTATGATAATTATATTTCTATGTATAACATGGGAGCAGAAAACATTCCTAGTGATCTGAAATATTCACATTCCATGAAACTATATGATTTTTGTGATATCAGTGAGCTGCAGATTTTTAATATGACAACAAAGACCCTTTTACTCAAAATAATTTTTAATATTTAGCATACAAAATCTTAAGAAAAACAGAAAAAGGAAATATGAGAAAGCCCTATTTCTGTGTTTTAAAAAAGTGCTCCGGGATGCCTCTAGACGGTAGTAAGCTTCTATAAACTGTTGCTGACAGAAGTGTCCTGTTCTATAATAAATGTTCTTCTTATGGCTGAAAGCACACCAGAAGTGACTTCAAGCAGCGATCTTGTGAGCACTACATTTTTCACCAGCTGCACAATCCCCATACAACCTTCCCAACATGCCCACATGGCTGTATTATCAGGGCTGCAGAAGTGTCCAATCAAACATAGAAAAAGGCTCTAGTAAGTTGTCTTTTGACATGAATATTTCAAAAACATAAAATCTTAAACTTTTTGCATAGCCTTCTCAACTGTGTAACTATCATTTACAGACATATGTTAACCAGGAAGTTCCACAAAGTGAATATTCCTGCATAAGATGAACCTATTTAGTTTGAATACCAAAGCATGCACACGGGGCGAAAACAGGATTGCTTGCATTTGCTGGCACATGGTTTGATGCTTAAAAGAGAAGTATTGGGAGAGTAAAATGTACTCCACCCAATACTTAGAGCTGGTGTGGGACACTGCAGGTGTCACATGCTGGCTCTATAGATTGAGATCTGAGTGATTATGAACTGCTGACTGCTCTGCTTGCAATCTTCTTCCTGTAGAGAGCTGTGACTGTCAGTCACCACTCCCTTCATGGATTCCCCCCCTCCCCTCTCTGTTGCTCCAGCTCTCTAAAGAGGCAGAGCCAAATGTCAACAGGCAGCAGGGTGGACCCCGACAATTTGTCAGGATCTTTCCTGTCTGCAGTATAGCTCTGCCCTGTCAGCAAATAGTGGGCAGTAACCCGCTAGATGCTGACTTTTTGTCACAGGAGTACATTTCTAAATGTACTCCTGTGACCCAAAAGAGGACTATAGCCAAAAAAAAAGGTTTTGCTTTAGTTCTTTTTTAAACGAACACAGCTTCACTTTATTCAAATGTATGTTAAAGGAGAACTATGAGGTGAGTGGTTTTCACTCAACCTTGTAGTTCGAGCCGACGTGTGACAATGAAACTGTCACACGACGGCTCAATAGATCGGAAAGTGAGCGAACACATACCATCGCTCATGGAGAGCCGTGACTGTCACTCACGGCTCCCTGCAGGGATTCCCCCCTCCCCTCTCCTATCCTCCAGCACTGACTGGTGGAACAGACAGGGGAGGGGCGGGTACAGCTGACTCTGCCTCTAGATAGGCAGAGCCAGCTGTCACTCACGCAGCTGGGTGGATCTCAACAGTAATGTCGGGATCCGTCCCGGCTGCGGCTGTCTCAGTATATCGTGAGCTGTAGCTAGTATATGTCCTCCCGTGACCCGTAGGAGAACTATGGGGGAAAAAATGTACCCCGTAGTTCTCTTTTAAGTCAACATACATTTTGTAAAGTGAACAATACCTTTGCTAAGTGAACAGCCTCTGCTCATTTTAGTAAATCATGCCCATTGTGTATGTAAGGGACACCATGCTTACACTGGTGCCATGTTACCATAACCAGAATGAGTGCCAGTCAACATATTATGTCAACAAGTCCAGTGAGTTTGTTCCTGCTAAAGGTTCTCTTGTATCAATCCCAAACATATTATAATTGATGTTGTGTATTTATAACAACTTTCCCCTCACACTATTATTCCTTAATACAGTCACATAGTTATACATATCGTAGGGAGTTCCAAGAAGAGACAAAGAGTCAAAATGCCTCCCCCTCTCAAACGGTACCAGGCCCACAATCCCCATATCTACCATTACACTTAGTACCCCTCCAATAGTAAATTTTCCAGATTAGAAAATTCTTCAATCCAACACAGCCAAACACTATGAAATGTATCCAGGGTATCGTTAGAGATTGCCAAGAGTATTTCATTCATCAAATACAATATAATCTTAATTTTACCCTGTTTGCACTCCCTCTTTCCAAAATCTCGCTGTTGTCTGCTTGGCGACCGTAAAGATAAATGTGAGAAGTTTAAATTGAGATGGAGTACAATCCTTGGGTCTTAAATTTAATAAAGCCTCCCAAGGATCCCTCTTTAGTCTCCACCCCAAGATTGTATAAACAATGCTATAAACTCCCTTCCAATTTTAGGGTAGTCCCACAAAGTGTGCAAAAGCGTACCCATCTGTGTGCCTCCTCTAAAACAATTTGCGGGTGTCCTCTAATTAAATTTTGCAATCCTCATTACCAGAGAGGATGTCAAGCTATCAGACTGTCACACAGATGGAGTGGCTATTATTACATTGTCAGAAGAGTGTTCAGAGGAGACGTTATATCAGAGGGGTGTAATTCTCACATTGTCAAGCGCAATCTCACTGGTGGAGGGGGTGTTACTCTATCAAAAGGATTGTCTTACTGTAAGAAAAAGGTTGCTAGAATGTGAAATCGTATATTAGGTGTCCAAAAGGAATTCATGCTTCCTGGCTACCCCTTTTACTGTCAGTCTGTCATTTGTAAACCACATGGTACTATAGTATGCAGTGAATCACAATACAGCAATCAACTCCACCCACCATGCACAACTCAATAGCAACCAGTGTTTTCCAATCAGCAGCTAGAATGTCTGCATTAGTTACAGCTAGAGAAACGAAAAAGGTTTTGCTCTGACATACACCCCCACCCCCACCCCCACCCAGGAAGTCGGGTGGCTTATACATGTTACCATTTTAGAAAGGGTAAAGTGAAAAAAGGAGGTCTCCTGGGATACTCTTAGAAGTCAGAAAGCTAAGGAGAGGAAATTCACCCCTGCCTAATCCCATGTTGTATATACCCTTAAAACAATAATCAACAAAGAGAAGTTGTTTAAAGTTCATGCATGTTATTAGACACAAAGGTGTTGATTTACTAAAGGCAAATAGGCTGTTCACTTTGCAAGGGTATTTTCACTTTGCAAAGGAATTTTCCCATAGCTTAGTAAATTAAGTAAAAATTCACTTTGCAAAGAATACCGCATCAAGTGTAGGAAAATAAAATAAAATGTATTTTTGCTTATAATTGGATGAAAGAAGTCAGCAGAGCTTCACTCCATTCACTAAACTAACGGAAAAATTCCCTTGAAAAGTGAACAGCCTATTTGCCTTTAGTAAATCAACTCCTAAAGACACATTTAGAGGTGATATAAGGAATATCTTCTAATACAGTCATGTGAAAAAGTAAGTATACTCCATGGAAATTGTCGCTTTTTGAACATATTTGAACACACAAACATTAGATCTTGAATCAAATAGTCCCTACAGATAAAGTTGATATACTTGAACAAATGACACACAGAATTTACATAGTGTTTATTCTTATTATCTAAATGGCCAAAAAAAAATCAGATTTGCCATATGTAAAAGTAAGTACACCCCTACATTTAACACTACTTTGATTTGAATCAGGCATTCCAGATTTGGTTCCAGTGATTACAACCTCCTTAGGAAGTATGCAGGTGTAACCTGTCTTATTTAAACCTCAAACCTCTAAGGTCTGGTGTTATCTTTGCTATTGACATGTGTGGTGTCACCATACCAAGATCAACAGAACTCTCTAAGGCCCTCAAAAAGAGAGTTGTAAATGCCTATACGCCAGGCAAGGAATTTAAAAAGACTTACAAATGATTTGAAATCAGTGATATCACTGTAAGGAAAATAATATACAAGTGATATAGAATTCAAATAACTACCAGGTTGTCCACGACTAGGTGGCCCGACAAATTAAACCCAAGAGTGGACTATTTGATGCTAAAAGAAGTCTCCAAAAACCCCCCAAAAATTTCATCTTTGGATGTTCAGGTAAATCTTGCATTGGTATCACAGTGCATGCATCTGCGTTTAGGAAGACATTGCACCACTTCAGCCTGCATGAGAGGGTTTAATAAAAAGTATTTGTTATCTGAAGAAAACTTTAGTAAAAGATTACATTTTGCCACATATTATATTGATATGTATGTTATATGTTATATGTATGATATGTTGAAAAGATAGCCAGGACCTAGGCCTTCTGGAACAACATACTAAAAAGTAATTAATCTAAGATAGAGTTACTTGGTCACAGTAACAGTAGACATGTTTGCAGCAAACTGGAGACAGCATTGTAAGAGAAGCATGGCATTGGACATGTTATGGTTTGGGGTTGCTTTACTTCCTTTAGGCCCTGGGTAGCTCACAATCATTGAGTAATCTATAAATTATGTATCATATAAAAGTGTGCTTGATGAGAATGTGAGGCCATCTGTCCTTAATCACAGAATAGCTTGTATATTTGACAAAAATACAAAGCCTTTTGTGAATGAGCAAATGAGCAAGTAGTCAGAGGGACTGGGATGCAACTGGAGCACTTCACTGCTTGAGTCGCATCCCTCACTCCCCACAGCAACCAGAAGCCTGACGTTGTGTGCAGGCGCTGGCATGCTGCAAGGTGGGATTTTTAATACTTTGCAGCAGCCCACTGCACATAGCATACAGCTTTTTAGTGATAATTTACACACCCAATGTCTTAATAATTTAAGACATGCACAAAACATATTATTTAAAAGACCCTCTCCCTACTATGCAAAAACAATTTGCATTGGTACGTATCCACCATAACAGCTACCCATGCCCTTTTTTTTACAAAAGCTTACAAATTGTCCTTGAAAACACCAGAAAAAAACAATAGGCTTCAGTGCAGTTTGGCACTATGTTCAGGGTTAGTAGATTTTTTTCCTGGGTTTCCAAAACCTCCTGTGAACTGAACTCTGCCAGGTTCTCTCATCCATATTTAGGTTGTTACTTGCAATAGGTTAACTGAGTATCAATAGGCATTAAAAAATGTATCATGTGACTATCCCCACAATCAGAGATTTTCCATTGTGTTTTTATAGAAAAATTAATGATTTATTGCGTATATTGTTTGGGTGAAAAAAATTATGGTGGGCTCAGCAGTTCACCTATCAATTATTATGCTTTAACTTGTCTCTGTACTTGGTATTACTAACCACAAACCCAAACATTGGGTACAGCATATAGTGTTATTAATATTACTGTACATAATTGCTATATAGATATGCACAACATATAGTCAACTCTTATAAAGCGACATGAGGTGGAGTTCGCTGCTGTTCGTTCTATTCTCATAGATGCCGAACAGCAGTGAGTGAATAGGGACCGAGCAGAACAGAAAAACAGTTAAAAAGTAGAAAACTAAAAATAGAAAACGATTGTGCGGAGCTAGCAATGACAGCTAGCTCCACCCAACAGTTTTCTAACTCTCCCGGTTGCTCCGGGAGTCTCCCGCTCCCGGCCGCCAAGGAGAGAAAAACACTGCTTTTTCTTTTTTTTTTCTTATTCTGATACGGAGCCATGCCAGAATAGAAAAAAAAATAAATTTTTGGCCATAGGAATGCATTGCTAGATTCCTATTGGCTGCTTTGTGATCCAGCTTAGTTGTGTGCAGAAAGGGTGACAATGCTGCAGCTGAACTGAGCATGTGTTATCACCCTAGGAAAGGAAGTACCTGTGGCTACATCTTTCTGGTAGGATCACCCGTAACAATTTAATTAAAAACACAGGATATTAAAAAAGGATACATTTTTTTGCCATTACATGTGCAAAAATATATTCAGAGTTTATATTTAGATCAACGTCAACTTTTTGTGTAACTTGCTTTTTCCTATTGTATTTTAATTAGAGTGTTATTTTTATTGTTTAGGTCTATGATTACTGTGATTTCTCCCTGCTTTGCACTGATGTTTGCAAGGACAGTTGTGGGTTTGCTGGAGGCGAGTTCCTGGCTACTAACAGACTTATCATCTGGACACAGGATGGACACAGCTACATCTACCAGCTGCTGAACAGGTGGGCCCACATAGGACTGGCATATGATAAGTTCAGGTACAAAGTAAGCTGTTTGTAAGTGCATTGTGAAAAATCCCTGCTTGTCACACTTGATCAAAACCCATAACAAAACCCTTTGACATCAGAACATTTGGCTTGAGTTTGGCACTAGTCCTCAGTCTTTATGTGAAGCAGCAGGAGATGAACAAAAAAGATTACCCAAGTTGAACTTGATTGGGCAGATGGTGCTATGATTTCCAGGAACACAAAAGTAATTAATTACCATCTTAGCAACTTTTCTTTCAGTGCTAAGAATTTAACCGAGTCAATCACCTTTTGTTTGATGACACTTTAACGCATTGTGTCATTTTCTTTATGCAGTGGCCTTTCCAAAAGTTTATGTCCAGGGGAAGAAGGATTACTGAAAGAAGCAATTACCCCTCACTTACTCTGCTCTACAAGTGTCATGGAAAAGGTACAACATATAACATCATGATAAAAAATATAATGCTTTGTCAGCATAGCTATAGTTGAAGCCGTTTATTAATCCAGCTTTGGTAGTAAGAAACCTAGGAACAACAGTCCACACAATAAACTAATAAAAATGATGTGCTATGCTATTGCTGTTATGAGAGTTGCTCTAACATATAAGAAATGTTGGTAATGGAAACATCAACTAGAAAGGTCCCTTAATAGAGAAAGATAAAATAGTAGTTAACTCCTATTTTTTAATTATATAAGGCAAATTGCATTTTTGTCCACAGTTTTAGCTGTATGCTCTTTTTTTACAGTTTACTGTTTTCTCTATAGTTTTTTATTTTATCCATATGAGTGTGCTGTAAAACCGTATCCATTTACATTATAACATTAAAGTACAAGTTCCCTTTTAGTGAAAGTGTCCTTTACTTAAGAGCCCAAGCCCCCTGGGGCTTTCTGGTACAATTTTTTGTAAGTGCCATTGACCTGAAATGTTCCTTCAGCCAAACATCTTGTGTCTGATTGATGCCAAAAACAATGTGGTGTACCTGGAGTAATTCAGAACTACTCACAGTCTATTCTGATATTTTCATGCAGAGCTTTTCATGTACAATGGCTTTCATTAACCAAAGGAAAGAGCCATTTTATAAAATACTTTATTCTGGCAATTCGTCGGGTAGACTACATTTCTGGCATGTCCCTGATGTACCAGTATCACAATTTGATGGTTCACCAGTAGGTAAGTTAATATTCTTTCTCTTTAATAGCATATAGGTAATAAGTACATTGAAAATGTTTACTAGCGGTAATCAAGAATACCCATGCATGTCTGTATTAGAACCGGATCTTCCAAACTGTTCTTCTGATTTTATTTAAAGAGAATGTATGGTGTAAACAGAACATTGAGCACTATACACACTGGTACACTTTATAATCTATGACATAATATAGCACAAGCTATAGATCATTAGTTGCTAATAAAACCAAGGGATGATATGCAGAGGACAAGATCCTGAGAAGATATTTCCTTCTCAAGTTATTTAGATGTTATATAAAGTCAGCAGGAGGTTGCATAAGTAGTGTCCACCTTCTTTTTTCTAAAATTTATTGGAGGACACCAACGTCCATTCTTTGACCTCAAGGAAGTTTGGACTCTATTATCAAATTAAAGGAGGCATGGCCCCATTTAGTGGCCCCTGCCACAGTAAATGAGCTTAATTTATCTTAGTGTCCTAAGAAGGTAGGACATATTTCAAGCTCTGCTTGTTATAGTCAAGTCATAGTTTAAATGTGTGGTGGCAATGTGATTTAATCGCACTAGTTTTTAGAATGTTGCAAGAGCATTGCTGTCTTTTTTGGTGTCTTTGCCCATCCCTCATTTTTGGAGACTGCTTTTGGGCATACTGTATGATGAAGAATAGAGTTCTGTGTCCTTCAATGGACTCTTGGGGGTCTATTCATGAAGCTGCCGAGGGCAGCGGAGTGAATGACCGATCTCAAGTGAAGTGAGCCGAACACTGTTCGGCTATTCACTTCAGGCTGGTAGGGTTAATTTCAGCCGTACATCGGCTGAAATCAGCCGTACATCGGCTTGCTTCGAGTGGCTTCGGGTCGGCCGATGCCAATAGTAAACTAGCATTGTTCCCGCCCTCTGCTGATGGACCTGATGGGGAACTGCAGCAGAGGGCGGGTACAATGCTAGTTTACTATTGGCTATTGCAAATTGAAATAGCCAATAGTAATGTCCCAATGCTTTTCAATGGGAAAAAATCTTTTTTTTTTTTTCTATTCTGACATCGATCGTGTCAGAATAAAGAAAAAAAGACATGGCAGTGTTTCTCTCCTTGGAAGAGTTTGCTGTTTGGAGATCAGTGTCCCTGGTTAGCAGGTAACCAGGGACGCTGATCTCACTGCAAGTGGCCGGAGCCAGCCGCTCGGCCAGCTTCGGCTTTCAGCACGGCTCAGCCAAGCCGATGCATATGCGTTCGGCTCGGCTGAGCCGCTCGGCCATGTTCGGGAGCTGTACGGGCTATTGTGAATAGCCCGTACAGCACCCCTTCGGTTCTACTGAACCGAAGGGGTCCTGGAGCCGAAGCTAGCCGAAGCTAGCCGAAGGATCGGCCGAAGCTACGGCCAGATCCTTCGGCAGCTTCATGAATAGACCCCTTGGTGAATATAGGATTTTTGTGTGTCCACCATATTATTACCTCCAGTAGTTATTTGGAGGACAGAACTCCATCCCCACCGATTGGTACTATTTCATGTTGTTGGCCTCTGGCCACAAGTAATGTTGTTTAATGTAAGCTTGTTTTACCTTCTCATATTTTTCCCTGCTTTTTACTCATAAGCTCATGTACATGGGATCAGGTAAAGCTGTGTACTTTTTAAACCTCTTAGGGATGGTTACATCATATGTTGATAAATGGACTTTTGTGTCCTTTAGTGAACTACTGGAAAAAAAGAATTTTACTGTGTACACAAAAATCATATTTTTTTATATGTGTATTCTTCAGAGGATTAGTGCATCCACAACTGATATTTCAGTATTTGGTAGATACTGGAGAGTCAGGCTACCTGACAATTTCATTTATTTCCTGGGGACACTATTGGTAAGCAAGTTGTGATTGATGTCCTGATTATGATCTCTTCCAGCTGGATTATTCATTTATTTTAAATTATGGAGAATATAACAGGAGGGATTGTGAATGTTTTGTTTCTTTTGTCTCCATTGTGCTTCATTCAATAGAATCTTATGAGGTTGATTTACTAAAAGACTATAGACTGTTCATTTAGCAAACAAAATGTTGATTGTGCTTAAGGTGCCCATACACTGCTCGATTCTCGTACGAGAATCGGGCGAAATCCCGCGATCGTACGAGAATCGAGCAGTGTGAACTAAGACGTGCGACCGTTTCTACTGTACGGTCGCACGTCTTTTGTCGAGCCAACATGTTCGAAAACCCGCCGAGAATCGTACGATTCTCGGCGGGTTTCCAGCCTGCTCGCCCGATAGCTGCGGAACGGGCCGGTGTGCGCACGTGCACACTGCCAGTTCTGCATTGCCGTCATCGGAAGCCCGCCCCTCAGCAGGGCGGGCTTTCGATGATCGCAAGTACGATCTGCCCGTCCAAGGTGGGCAGATCGTACGGGCTTTCAAGAAGCATACGACCATCGCAAGACAAAAGTCTTGCGATGGTCGTAAGGTGTATGGGCACCTTTAGCATTAGACATAAATTTTGTTTAGTTCCGAATGGATATTCATACAAATTTCATTAAATTCGAATATTCAAACGCGTCTGAATGCGAACAAATCTGAATGTCTGTTTAACAAAATTCAGATCCATCTAAATTTAATTCAAAACTAAACTAAATCGGAGATGTGACTGTTCTCTGGCCAGTCAGATCTTTATTTGGCTGTTGGGGGGTTGCATTACAGGCAAGGTCATGTGACTTCATTCCGAAACAAAAATTCGGATCATTCCAAAATGAAACTTCGGATGGATCCAAAATCAAATTTCGTATCTGAAATCCAAAAAACTAAAGAAATAAAAATCCATATTGATACAAAATGAAACTACTTAGCAAACATGTAACCCCATGTGCTAAGTTTTTGCTTCAATCATCCAATCATGTCCAAGAAAAAATCCTGTTTACATTTCCTTTTCACATGACGAGGGATTTAAAGTCCACATTACAACTTTATTTACTAAGCTTAGTAAACAATACTTTTCTAAGTAAAGTCTCTAGTCCTATGTATTCACATGTAGTCCTAGGTATCCACATCTAACTCTAATGAGAGCTAAAAGGGGCTAAAGCAGATTTAACATTTTTGGCTTCATCTGTGCTATAACCCAGTGGTTATGGATACAAGATTGGTCATTGGGGCAAGAAGAAACACTGTACATCTCTCTGCCACCAAACTTGGAGATAAATTACTGAATTTTGATGAGGATTTGTAAGAACTTGTACTTCCTATGCATTCAGAAAGCAATGCATTACTGCAGCTTAGATATTGTTTATGTGGGTTGTTGAAATTAATCTGCATTGGTACCAGTGCATACCAGTGTGTCGTGTCTCTATTTGCAGAAAAGAAAATATATATTTATTAGTTACTTAATATACAGTGAAACAAAATAATGCATGCAGTAGTTAGTAAATACATTTATCATATCCATACATTTGGGGGGAATAACTTTACGATACTTATATCTTTCACCATCTTAACAAATCCAAAATGCATTATTCTGACAAATTACAAATGTATTGGCTTAAACAGAGCTTTTTAGTATACAAACATGCTTGCTGCCATTGCTGACCTGTTTCTATAGAAACATATTTCTAGGTTGCCATCCTGAGGATTGCTGTACTACTTGGTTAGTCACTGACCCAGAACAAGTTTGTGCATATCAGGTGATGTGATACTTCACTGGCTCATCCTTGTTACAAGTCAGTAACCCACCATAATTGGAAAGAAGACACATATGGATAGTGCCCATCTTTTTAACCTTACAGATTCCTTTTCCCATTTCAGAGTGTGTTTGTACAAAATAACCTGCCTTGTTTGATGGCAGAAGTACTCTACTCATTTTTGCATTTCAAGTTTTGTAGAATGATGATCGTAGGGGCTTTGATCCTAATCAAATACACCGAAAATAATAAGTACTATACACACAAGCCTCAAAAAGGCAGTTTAGTGCATGCTCCTTACCACCCCCTCTGCCTAACACAACCATCGCCAAGTTCTCTCTAATTAGATGTGTTAAAGGGGCATAGCTTGGAAATTTGTTTTAGTACACACAATGATTTTTGTAAGTATTCACCTTACCCTGCATTACATCCTTTTGCATGTATGGAAGTCAATAGTTTTTAATGGCTCTGTAAGCAACAGGTATAAAACTAGAAATTACATTTTAAGGCACTTCTATGAGTGCTCTCTGCACTTGGTTTTGTGTATAAACTGTTGGACCTTACCTTTAATGAAAGACACAAGCTCCATATTTTAAAACCTAATGAAAACACTTCATGTAAGTGCTTGGTCTTTATTAAAAAAAAAACCTCTGATTGTTTTTTAAATTTGAAATTCTATTCCCTGGTAGTGATGGAATTGATTGATGCAGAATATGCAAAAATGCAAAATAATATATTATGTTAAAACAGGTTTTTAACTGTTAACATATTCATTAATAGTTCTGTTTAGAAAAAAACTGCCAATGGCAAATGTTTGCTTAACCTCAGCTTTAAAGAAGATAAAAAACATCACTTAATTATTATGTTCTAGATAGCATGTGTTTATGTGTGTTCAATAACTACACTTTCATTGCAGTTGGTTATCAGTGTGCTTTTTTCCCTCTAGAGATACCACTAAAGGTAACAATAACTCTCCAAGAAATGTTTGACAGGCATAAATCAATGTCTGAAGGGATCATTGATCACCTGTGTACTCCCAGTGAAGGCGTGACACTTGCTACGGTCACTGCATCTCTGTATATTGCCAGCCTTGATAAGCTAGTTTGTGGCTGTGAAGATGGCAACATTGTTATCACATTTGCATTACATGCTGCAAGGGCAAGACTCTTACGAGACCACCCACTTCTTAGAGGTAAGTATGTTTTATAATTGACTGCAAAGGAAAAAAAAAACCTTCTTAATCATAATAGAAGTGTATTTTAGCTAAAGTCAGGGATATAATATCCATAGTATTCTGCGCTTGGTGTATAAAGTGAAGGCGTGAGTAAGTGATCTGCACATTGCTGCAGCTGGTAATTTTTGACACATTGGGGGTGATTTACTAACCTAAACACACATTTCACGCACTAGGTGTGTGTGATTTTTACACAGCAAAACGTATTTATCAACCAAAAAGTCTCTAAAAGCATATTTCCACTAATGCCATGTATGGAAAAATCATGCACACGATGCATATATAATGTTGCTTCACAGTTTAGACAAAAATGGTTAGCTCATGCATTTACATTCCTGCATTCATCAACGCAAGCAACACAATGTAGAGCTAATTTACACAACATCACCTTGCAATTGATGCAGGGCTTTGCACAACACACCTGCTGGGTGTGTACACACTACAAAGGTGTCTAGATTCCACCAATAGATCATGCTGGGAGGGAACACACTACAGAGGTGTATACTTGTTCGTGGCGTGTTTATAAGGTTAGTAAATCAACCCTATTGTTTTTCTCCTAGCGCAACTTTTATCTTGATATAATATCCTGTTATCTTGATATAATATCCAGTTAACTTTTCTTCTCGTATTATATTTTTTATTTATACTTTCTTGTGTTAATAAAGAAAAAAAAACACATAAATGTACAAAAACGTTTTAGAGACTTAGTAACACCAGCAATAAACTTGTTATTATCCATGCACTTGCATTAATGCTCTAAATAAGATATATTAGCAACTACTGATTGTTGCTAATGGCACTTTGGTCATCTGCATCACTAGCAAAATAAGCTAAATTGGCGTATGGTTGACCTGAATTTCAATGGAAGAAAACTTTAGCATCATCTGTGGCAGCAGCTAACTTATCATAGAATTTGATAGACAAGAAATGTCTGCTGATTGGGAATTCTGCCATCTTGGAAAGTATAGAAATAAAGGTTATGTCTAGTGATTAAAGGAGTTTCATAATGACATTCTAGATGAAAAATGGTAAGGCCATTCTCCAGACATTGATGATAGAACAGAGCAAGGGTAATAATGACATTGGTACAATGATATATAGGGCAGTGTAGGCTAGGTAGACACATCCATCATCTGTTTTTGAATGACCTGGATTAGATATGTTGTCCACAGTAACAAATTATGAGACTTGATTTTGTTGTCCAATCAGCATGTCATCTGAAATCTAACTATCTGTTCCAGGAAAAAGCTCAACTTGCTTTTTTGTGATTATAGAAAGCACTCCCACATTTTGTGTATTGGCATCTGTGTTTGGCTGGATATGTCAGGCAAATATTACATTTTTATCCAACGTGATTGTGCTTAAAAATAAATCTGTAATTCATTTTTGAATGAAGTACATTTGTTAATTTGTATTATTGTTATTTTTCCACAGAATTGTCAATTTGCCTGGGGTCAGTACAGAATAAAATGACATTTTTTTTTACTGTTTCCTTATCCCCAGGCTCATTGCCACATAAAATATTTGGAGGCCATGACTGCAGCGTGACCAGCTTACTTTATCCTCATGCATGTTCTGAGAAGTTTGATCCAAGCTGGCTTATTTCTGGTGATCAGAATTCATCTATAATTTGGAGAGATGTGTTCACAGGGGAAATATTCCACAAGTTCATTTTACAGGCTGGTGCAATTCTTAAACTGCTTGTCCCCCCAACTGACTACAAAGTAAGGAAAATTGTCATGGCACAGTTTTCATTTTATTAACTACTTCTATTTCATATATAATTATAGAAAAAGGTGATATATATAATAGCTTTGTAATGCCAAAACTTGTATTTATATGCTGGGATATATAATATATTTTCAGAACATTGCTAGATTCCTTGCTGTGATATTCTGTTTTAATTATTGATCTGTGCACTTTTGTTTTGGCTCAGTTAAAAATAATTTTAAAAGACAGCTTTAGGTCAGCTAAAGTTGACATTTAAAAAAAAATGCTTGACCTTTTGAATAAAATACATAGAACTCTGACAGACAGTCAGCATGCAGCACAAAAGTCTCTATCCTGCAGTGGGGGAAAAAAAACTACTTCAACTGTACAGCTGCTGTTTGTTCTATCTATCTATCTATCTATCTATCTATCTATCTATATATCTATCTATTATTATTATTATTATTATACAGGATTTATATAGCACCAACAGTTTGTGCAGCGCTTTACAATATAAGGAAGACATTACATCTATCTATCTATCTATCTATCTATCTATCTATCTATCTATCTATCTATCTATCCATCGAACCAATGAAATAAATCTTACTAAGGGTCAATTTGCATGAGTACATTTTCCTGTGTGATTTTAAGCACAGGCAGTGAAAGCTACTGTAAGTACAAAATATTAGGGACAATGCTGCGTAGGTATAAAAAAATAGGTCTACATTGTACACTCATGAGAACTGAGGAAGCCATTTGAATGTGTGGTATTACTTTTACCATACAGAGCATGTCCCGGTGGATGTGACTACTAACTGCTTTACCATGACCTGGATAAATGGTAACATGCATACTGTATCCTACAGTTTTTGGTGTGTTTTTCTTGTTATTAAACTGAAACTTTACTCCTACTCTGCTTTTTTTTTCCATCCCCTCTTACCTGTTATGCAGGGTTTTGCTGGGAAAACATACTCATCTGATATAATCTGCTGCTCCACTGCCACAGAATGTATCCCGCACTGCCATCTTCCCTTGCTACGTTATCGGAAACGGACTGTATCTTCTGGGCTCTTGCAGCCAGCACATGATGGGACTCCAGGGTTGTGTGTCCCTGCTTCTACAGTCTTCTGGGATATGTGACTGAGATATTTCGGTAGACTGCAGGAGCAGGACACATCATTCTCTCCTAGGCAAGAATAAAGGCAGAGGGGAATGCCAAAAATGGCCTTTTCATATTGCATAGGGGAAAGTTGCATGGAGGAAAGGTTGATAATGGGAGTGAAGGTCCACTTTAAACAGAATGATCCTTGTCACTGGGAATTACAATGGAACGCTTTAGACTTTGTGATCATGGTATCCGACCTAAAAGTGCAGAACTTCAAGTAACAATTTTTTTACTTTTAGTTTTGGATAGACTTAAAGAGTAAAATTAACAAGTAAATTATTTTTTTAAAGTTTTTATTGCTGGCAGTGATCCTATTTGGGAGTTTGTGACAATACAAACAGAAATAAGCAGAGCGGTTGTTGGACTGCAGTAAAAACCTGATAGAGGTTCCATCCATTGGACTGAAGCTGGGCTTTAAGGCTATCACTTAAATGCTGAAGTAGGTGATCAGAGTCACAAGCCCCATGACCTAATCCATGACATAAAATAATCTGTTAAGTTCTTATTGTTAAAGGAAACGATACTGGTTTTTGGTTCTTTGTATTTAAATTATGTCATGTTTTTATTAGTTGTAAATACATTTCATTATAGAGAAAAACACTTAATACAGGGTCTTCCATGACACCATGTTTGCAAAAAAATTCTAGTTGCTTACTTTTGGAATGTATTTCCCTGACACTCCTTACAGAGCAATATGACTTTGAGACATGCCCTGTCTACAACACTCCTTAGAATTACATTGTGCATCCGCACGACAAATGTCACTGCTTGCCCCGGATTTATGTACCTGTTGGAGACAGGTAGATGAATTAAGTCAAGCAGCACCATTTACAGCCCAGCCTGGTGTCCTAGCAACCAATGAATGGAAAGCTATCGTATTTTAATGACAGTTTGCCAGTACATATATGCCCCAGTCTGGGCAGTGGCGTCTTTCTGTACTCCAGATCAGAGTTGGTCTTAATATTTGCCAGCTTCCTCATCTGTATACTGGCAGTAATTATGTTTTAATCTGTTGCAGCCATAGCAACAGATTTTAAAGTGGTGGTAATAGGAACTACCTGAAGCCATCGCACACGTCAGAACTGAAAATATATCAAGGCTTTCATGAGTTAGGTGCCATAACATCAGAAAAGTGTCATACATGCTTTATTGAATTCCCCCATGTGTAGATGTTATGTTCTTCCAATTACTTATTCAGTTTTGTGTGTTGTGAATAAAAGTGAACAGCAGGGAATCAAATTACAGTCTGTTACACAAAATTAAAGAACTAGAGAGCACCTGCGGAGCTTTACCTGTTGGCTGCTCATAAAAATATAAAATATTCATGTGGCATATTTTATATTTAGTTTATAATAACCTAACAAAAATGCAATAATAATATGGCAAAAAGACAATCTATGCAAAAATACTAAATTATTTCTTAAAATGTAGTAACTCCATCTTTTATTGATCTGACTGTAGTAGAGTGTTAAAGCAAACTTCTACTTTGTCCATACTAGGAAAACTTACAGATTGCACCATGGGCAGTCTGTACTTACATTTCCTATGCTCTGCCACCTCTGTTTAGCCTCAGGAGCCCCAAGAAAGCGATTCTAAGTATGGAGAAACACATGACACTTCCCCTCTTCCCCCATATTTAAATGCTCACAGCCAATCAACAGGCACTAAAAGAGTCACATGAGGACAGGGTGTAGCCTGCATAGCCCTGTTTAAGTTTCATCTTTCAGGAAGTCAAAACTTGTGCAGGAAATTTTGGGGAGCTTGACAGTGTATTAGGATGGAGGTAAGGCATTAAAAAACTAAGTACAACCTACCTATAGTGCCTCCTATGCATAAAGCTATTTTCTTCCTTATATGGGGAAAGAACAGGTTTGCTTGTGCATGAGAATGCATTTAAAGACCTTTGTGTTACAATGAGCAGCTGAATATTAAATGTAAGGCAAGTCATATAAAGATATGTTGAATGCCTTAAAATGTGAAAATTCTGCTAAAGTATCATCTATATTCTGTTGCAAATCTAAGAAAACTTGAGTATTCTTTTAAACATTAGTGAAATAGCAAAGTTCCCTGGGTCAAAGTAGAAATTTGCTGATTGATTTACTTAACTGCCTTAGCTTGCTCTTGCAGTGCTTACCTCGCAAGGGCCGCTGGAGTATACGGGTCTTCTGTCCCACCCCAGTGATGACTCACCCTTACCTAGATCCAAGTGACACCAACACACCATTTAGAATGTTTAAAAAGGGCTTCATTAAAACTAGCAATAAGCTCTGGAAAAGAGATAAAATGGTTAACAGAATTGACAATGTTAAATGCAGTGATGCAATACAACAGCTCAGCAAAGTAAACAGGATTGATGTTCGTTCACTTTAATCGCCAGTGGAAGGCCTCACCAGAAATGCAGTGAACGAGTGAAGAATTAATCTGTCAGTTACAGAACACAAAAAAACCCTTCCACAAGTACCAAAGGAAATATGATGGATTATGAGAACCTATCTAGCTTCTGTAGGTCCTAGCTAACCACTGGTCAGTCGGAATTCTACACACGCTCAGAGTCTGCCAGCGTTGGGGCCCTTTAAATTCTGTGTTTGAGTACTCAGCCTTTTGCAAAACTATATCTGTAATCCAGAAGATGGAAATGTGTATCTTCACAAAGTGTCACAGAGTAACAAACATTAACAGATGCTGTAAACCACCTTCAGATAGAGCTGAATTGGCAGTAAACAGGAGGATCTAGCAGGAATAGGCAAGATCAATTCACACTAAGATGGCAAAAGATCTCTCACCATTTAGATGCACTTTATATATCTTCCTTGCAGCAATTTGTAGCTTGATAACTGTATCAGATGACTGGATGGCGATGGCTGCAACTCAGGCTGCAGAATCCCCCAATCTAAATGATGATGGCCGCAGAACAGAAATCTGCCTCTAGATGTCACTACACTGTTGGCACATCTTCAGAGATCAGGCGAAAGGGTAGCATAGCATACTGAAACTCCCCCCTCAAGCCTGCACCTCCCTTTATAGGTGACCACAGGAATCACAGACTCTGGCAGTGCACAAGAGACAAAACACAAGGGAAACTCCCCCCAGTCTGGCTGCAGCATACCAGTCTGTGTCTTTCTCCGTGTGTCTGTCGCCCTCTGAATCTGAGGAGTCGGCTCTCCTCGGGTGGTGGGTGGAGCTAAACAGTCTGGCAGCCAATTACAGCTCTCCTGGGCTGCTAGCCAATCAAGTCCCTCCTTACCTTTGTTGTTAGAGGTGGGCTTTCTTCTTAGCTACAGCAGTAACCAATCCAAGAACAAGGCTGCAGATGCAGCCAAACGAGTCTCTCCTCCAAATTTCTGTGGGCTATCATTCTAGCCAGAGAAAAGCAGTGCAGTGTTTCATAGAGCAATATCCTGCATATAGTACAGGGGCAATACTCTGCCGGTGCTGCATCCACTCTCTCCCAAAAAATATTTGGTCCCCCAAAGAGATAAATAAGTGCAGAAAATCATAGCATAGCAGTTATACAACATAAACGTATACGGTAAACTTACATGTTGATCAGCAGCTTAGACCTGTGATGTTAGGCAGATTTTATGATATTTCCTAACAAATGCATTAGATAATGGAAACTGCCACCAAGGTGTGTCAGGAGGTGGGTTGGGGACATCAGTCACTGGTACCACCATAGAATAGGCCTGAGAATCAGGAAGTCTACAAACAGTGGGAATAGGTTCTTCTGAACTTGTTCCAGAGGTGGCATACGCTAATCTGAGTGGGGATCTCACTGTTCTCTTAACTCTCTGTTCTTTGGGCTCAAGGTGAGTCTCTTCACAGGGTTCTTCATTAGAATCAAGGTGGCTTTCCTCAAAAAGTTCTCCTTCGGTTTCAGAGGAACTCCCATCCAGAAGCCCCTCATCAGGTTCATGAACTAACTGGTAGTCTTGCTCTACTAGCTCTGAGTTTTCTTGCACGCAGGTTACAAATTCAGGTGCATCAGGCCAGAGCACACCTGAGTGCTGGTCAGCAGTGGAAGTGGATGGAATGGCATCCATGGACTCAGATGGACACAACCATTCCACGTCCAGATCATCATCACTGTCATCTTCTACTGTTGCGGCCTCGTTGCCGGTAGAGGTTGAGACCTGGTGACTGGAACTCGCTTGTAAGAAGGCAGTTTGTGTGATGGAGTCTCAGTTCTCGCAGGTATTCTGATGGCTTCCCTGAGGGGCAGTAGATGTTTTCAATGCCAGGTCTTCAGGGGCCCTGTCTTCCCATCAGGCCAGATTTAGTATACAGGAAGGCCAGGCAGTCGCTTGCAGACAACATATTGCTGAGAACTCAGTTTGCATACACTGCCAGTAGAAATGATCCCTAACTTATTTGAATGTTCTATCAGGTCCCAAGTGTCCATGCTCATCATGTAATTCATTAAGCACTGCCCCCTATACTTCTCCAGGAGAAACAGCTGCCAATTCTCTTCTGGATCATCCGTGAGGCCCCCAAATGTAGTGCTCACCCCTAAAGGAGCCGCTGGAAAACCCGGGTCAGCCAATAGCCTGTCTAGGGATTTTAGCAACCAGCTGCCCCATTAGCATTAACTGCCCACTTCTAGTGACCAACAGAACTGATATCCAGGCTAGGAGTATGATGCTGAAGAACTTTATTAACATATTCACACTGGATGAGAGGATATAGGACTTAAGACATCCATGAGAAAAATAGACTCCAGACTCACCGGTCCCTTTGAGCAATTCAGTGTAGATTCATTAGGAGCACAGTTAAATAGGGATTGGCAGATATCTTCAGTAGAAGAGACACCAGACTTACTCCTGAGGTCCTCTGTATTCCAGGCACCCCCAGCAGCCATCAGCCTCCCCGGTTCTCCTTATAAATTAGTAGCAAAGGCCTTCCTTAGGCTTGAGGGCTATCAAAACATTTCCCATACACAAGTACTCACACCCCAGGCCCAGCCTGAGGGCAGGCTGGACAGCTCCCAGCCCTGGAATAATCCATGGCTGGACCCAGAATGAGCACATGGCAATTCATTTGAGTATAATTGCCCTGCCCCAGTGGTTAGCTGGTGAACTGCACACACACTCACAGTGCCCCTAATTGTATGCCCCACACTGCAGCAGAGACACACTCCACTCAGGCAGGTACAATCAATGCCAGAATACTGGGAATTAACCAGATAAATGCCAACTATAATTCAGGGACGTGTGGTCAGGGGAGGCAGGTGAGGCAGAGCCTCACCTAGTATTATGAAGAAAAAAGGTGTCAGCTTCAAGTCCGAAGTTGACAGTTTTGTCTCCATTCTGTGCGGCTTGTTACAGGTTACACAGCAGGGAAAGCCTCCCCGCTGTGTAACCTGTCATAGACGGAGCGCTGCCTCCAGCTTTTGACAGGTAGTTAGGTTACACAGCAGCGGGCTTCCCCACTGCTTGTGTAACCTAACTTGGTAAGTCAAGAGCTGTCACAGCCTCTACTCTGTGTTAGAGGTGTGAGCTCTGTGGATGGCTTGGACCAATGGCAAAGCGCCATTGGTCCAAGCTGTCCAATCAAAAAAAAGAAAGAAAAAACCCACTGAGGCCGTCGATCTCGATGCCTCAGCAGTGACTCACCAGTGACGAGCAAGTGAAGGACAGGGAGGCTCCTCCCCGTCCCCTCCCTTCCTCCTCCCCACACAGCTTGGTTACCGAGCTGGGGGCGGGGCTTCAGTAGGATTGGGGCGGGGATTCTGTCGGACATGGGCAGAGCTTTGGGGGCTGGTGGATGCCTCACCCAGCACAGAAAGCATGGCACATCACTGCTATAATTCAGCCAGACAGACTGCAGCTCTGGCAATCACTACATTTCTAGTAGCCACCTCACAAAAGGTGACATGGGCTACACTCTTTAAAAGTATATATTATCATATTATGTTTGAATTCTGTTATTGAATAATGTATAAATATACAGTAACAATGCAACATTTTTCTAGAGAGAAATGCATCCATTTAAAAGCTGTAGTTAGTTAATTAACACTGCAGCCTTTATAATGTATAAAACTGCTCCTGGACATCTCCATATTTGACTGATGTCAGATTTGGGGTGATGGGAGGTCATGACCAGTTATTAATGGGAACTGAGCACATTTCCATGTCCCGATGTTCACCATGCTCCCAGGAGAATTTAGTAGATTGACAACTCGATCATGTGGGAGCAAACATATTGCTCACACGTTTTAGCATGAGTATTAAAAATACTAGGATTCTGGTAACTTTGATATGACTTAGAGAACATGCAGTGTACATTGTACTGACGGTGCAGGTACTCTTAGGTTTTTTTCACCTGTTAGAAACAAATAAAATATATTGGCAGTATACAGGCTATTAGCATATTTGCTTTATTCACTAGGAACCTAAATTACATTTTTCTTTGAGTTCCAGTTTCCTCCCATCCCAAAACATACTGGAATACTTAGACCAAATAGGCTATAGTCTATGCAAGAAGAGAGCAGTACAGAAACAGAATCTCAGGCACAGCATGGTCAAGGGTCACCAGTCAGGCTGTTACAGTGCCAAAAAAGACATCAAGCTAGAGGTCAGCTCCCAAGAGTTGGTCAGCCTAGTTTCGCAGACAGAGTATGCATCAAAGGAAGGTTGGGACAGACAGAGTGTGTGCCTTCATTATAAGAACCTAAGCAATCTGATTGTCTTTTGTAAGAAAAGTCACAGCATCTGTATCTCTTTAGCTGAAAATGAGCCTTTGAACGTATCTCCACAAAAATGATCCCCTCCTGATGATATCTGAAATACAAATTGTAGGGGGAGTACTGTGCAGAGCTACTAGTTTGTCATGTTACAACGAAAAAACTTTTTGATTTTTTTACAGTGGCTGCACAATGAATTGAAAGGTAATTTTTAATAACATTAAATGACAAATGGGCTTGGGTAGAAATTATTTATAATATATTAAGTAATGTAAAGTTTTCCTTTAACTTTATATGTTTTCAAAGCAAATGTTTTCCATCTTGACATAAATTGTTGATGATTCATTTACCGCATTCTTTAAGAACTGTATTATTATTTATTAAATGTATACTTTAAAAACTGTATTGCAAAAACAATATATTGTATCAATCCATTTTTCAAAAAGTAAAGTAAATTCTAAGCTAGCCTCTGAATACCAGACAACAATACACTGGTAACGTATCTAAATTATGCAAGGACTATGATGAACAAGTTCTTCATTTTGGGTGCAGATTATTGAAAAAATATAGAAATTGTATGTAGTACTTATATAAGATCATAAGCATACTTTCTCATTTATACATGAGCCTTTTCTTACATTTAGAGAACAGGTTTTACATTCATAGTTCTTAGTCTGGGTTCAGGTTTCCAGCAGCTCTGAAGGAATCCCAGTGTTCTGTATTTTGTTTGTGGTATGTAACTAGACTGAACCTTTTTCTATTTTATACATCCTACTGAGTGTTATCAAGTGGGTGGGGCACAGGTAAATAATGTTTACAAGAAGCTCAGATAAAGATTTCTCATTTAAAACATTACTCTTATTGTGTTTTTCATACATAGGTAAAATTGTTCCAGAGCATCTATTGTGTATGCAGTGATAATTCAGTGGCACTTCTGAATCTGCAGGAGCGAGTATGTTTTTTCCATGCTAGAAAACATCTATTTCCAGTGAAGACTATGAAATGGCACCCTGTGGAAGAAGCGTTGGTTGTCGGTTGTGAAGATGGTTCTGTTTATGTTTGGGAGATCGAAACGGGTAATTCTATATATTAAAGTAGAATTTAAAGTAGATCTGTCATTTAAATTCAGACTTCACATGGGTCGATATGGCACGCACATATCAGCATTAATACGTTTTATTTTAGTTTAAAAAAAGGTGCCTTGCTTCATTGTGCCACATATCAAAAAGAACTGAACTCTTTGCTAAGTGCTTTTGTGTGGTAAACAAGTCAACTGAATAGACTCTTTAAAGTGCACATTCTTCCAGACTATAGACATTTAACTAGTAAATATTCTTATCCAAACAATAAAAAAAAAGCTTTAACACAAGCCATCCCTGATTTCTCTGGCTGCTTTCTAAAACAGCACTGCAAAAACTCTAAAGAGGACTTCAGTTGGTTTCTAACAGCTTAGAAACACCTGCTGGTTGTTTACATTAGAAGGATGGCAGCCTGCCAATATTCTGGTGTAATAGAAAGTAATGCTGAAACACTCAATTTCAATGCCTGTGTTGTGGATTTTCAAAAATTAACTTCTTACCTATGATCATAGAAAAAGAGATTAAGAAGGACGTGTTTTAAAATGTGCTTACTGCTTGTATGTAAATACTTTGTCATGCATCCTCTGGGTACAGATTCACTATAAGGCCCAGTTTTAGGGGGGTTTAGTGCACATTCAGAGTGCATGCCAAATGCTCTGTTTGTGCATCTCACTTGTGTCCAAAAAGTGGACACCCAAATTAATTGATGGTAGTTATCAAAACTGGGAACTGGAAGCGCTCAACATTTAACCATCAACAATGGAGCTTTTGGAGCTCACATTAAAACAAGAAAGGTGATACCTGCATGACATCACTGAGATTCTGATTTCCTTATTACTATATAACCCTTTAAGGAAGAAAAGTAAGTCACCACCTAAATGTGTACCAAAGTGTTATATTAGTTTTTGTTCTGCACTGTACATCATCTGGATTCTAGTACTCCTGTAATATGAAATAGTAGTATTAATAGTAAATGCCATTCTCAAACTTTTCCATGATAAATGTGTGAACATAATAAAAAAACGAAAATGGACAAAGTGTGTATGAGTGTAGAGGAAGCTAAATATGAAGAAGGCTGAGCAGGGGTACAGATCCTTCAAACATATTATATGTGCACTTGGGCAGCCTTGTTATGCTTGCTGTGAGCTGTTCAGGTTGGCTTGGTCTGTACCTCTCGTCCTCTCCATAGACGGAAAAGGGAAGATTGCGAATGCATGAGAGTAGTTGGATCATGTCTGCATTTCTGTCCCTCATATGTCTATGGACAGCGTTAGTACAGGCAGACTAATAAAAACTGACTGCTGACTGGAGTTTATGGGTTTCTATATACCCACAGTCTACAAAATGTACATGTTGTTGCATGTATCCAGCAGTCTCGTCATGAAAAACAAAATCCTATGTGCACTGTTACACCAATAAAAATTACATTAAAGTACATACAGACAGAAAGAATAAGGTAAGCAACTAACTGAACATCATACTACCAAGGCTTCACTAGAACAAAAGCTGGCCAGTTTGCACCTAGATCTGCTTGTCATAAGCAGTATCTGTCAGATGCTCCATTTGACCTTTGTAGTTAGTGATTCTGTCTGTCTTCTAGACTTGCTCTCTGCCATAACTGCTCTTAGCGTAATTGTTTGTTTGTTCAGTGACAATGAGTGGCAGATTGAGTCAGCTAAGATGGGTACGGTATTTTCAAGACCAAGATAGAAATCAGCTTTTTTTTCTCTCCTACCGAGGAATTTAAAATTAATTGGCTTTGAGCTACTATGGGAATTAATAAAGCCCCAATTCTACCAGATTCATATCTATTCTAGAAGGGGGTAAATTATAAATTATGATTCTGCTTACTGTGGTTAAAGTTTCTCTTACTCAATTATATAGAACTCCTATATAAAATGGGCTTTTCCTGTTCTATAGAAAAAAATAAATCATACAATGAAAATTAGATTTACTAATATTCACATTTTTATATAAGATTGAACTGACAATGTTAGTTCAGTCTTAATCAGCTTGTTAACTGGATTGATTAGGACTTTCTCAGCTATTTTTGGCCTAATTGCAAATGGAAACAGCTTATCAACAGCCACATCAAAGGTTTACCTAAGTGAAAATTATTTAAAAGGTATTTTAGCACTGAAACCAGGTAACCACAAAACAAAGAAAACATTTTCTTGACCAAATCCCTTTTCAGTGAGCAGGTGTACTTATTAATTCATAAGCTGTGATTATTTACATTGTTAGATAAAACACAGGCACACACACATACAGTATATTGCTTATTTATGAGTTTTGAAAAACTTTGAAAGTTAGAAGTTTGACATTGATGAGAACATTCATGTTCAGATGATGATTAAAGTCTAAAATATTACTGTTATCCTGCATTCCAGTGTTCCACAACCTTTCTCTTAAGTTACCTTCTTGTAGACATGTGCGGTTGTTTTTGTCCGAACTAACATTCAGACGAAAATCTGCAATTTTGGACATTCAAATGCGTCCGAATTTCAGAATGAAAAAATAACTAATTTAAACATATTTGAATATTTGATAATAAAAATTTGAATGCATTCGAATTTTGTCCAAATGTAATTCAGAATGAACTGATGTTGGTAAACGTGGAAAAAATACAGCGCAGAGTCCTCCGAAATTCATACCAGATCCTTTAGGTTTAGTATGAATTTTAGGGGGCCCCCTTAAAAATGCATGGGGTCCCCACAAAATCCCTTACCAGACCCTTGATCAGAACAGAAGCCTGGCAGAGCAAAGAAGGGGGGATGATCTCGCATCTACCTGCACCAGGTCACATGCCTTCAACAAGGGCAGGGTGCTTTGCCAGGGGGACCCCCTGGAAAAGTACCTTGTCTCCATGTGGATGAGGACAAGGGCTAGGGGACTTATCTGAGTGCCTCCTTTCATAAAAGGGGCACCCAGATGCTCCCCCTCCCCTTATGAATAAGTAAGGGGTAGTTGTTACCCCTACTCATTCACTAAATAAACAGTAAAATAGTAAATAAACAAGCCATACCAGTAAAGAGGATCATTTTGAACTGTGTGAACCTGGCACAGGAGGCAATCATGTTGAACAATGCAAAAGAGAGGATCACCTAGAAGTGTGCATGTTGACAAATACAGAGTGCACAGTGTACCTTTCTAAAGATGACAGGGGTGTTTCTGCTCCCCTGTCATTGACCATACAGCCAACCGAAGCTCCACCCACTGCTCCCACATCCAGCTGCCAGTCACTTCCCTGCTAAAAACTACCACTGGCTGTCAATGAGGAGAGAATTATTAGAGCCCTGTGATGACATCACAGTCATATAAAACTTGTAATGAAAGCAGAAAAAAGACATGTGAGTTAAACATGTTTATCCAATTGTATAGAGAAGCAGATAGAGGTTTATTTGTATTTTATCGTTTTTTTGGAGTTCTGCTTTAAACATTTACTCTGATTATTGCAATATTGCTTCGACTTAATTGATTTAATTCAGTGTTTCTGCTGTTTTCTACTGGCTATTGATAAATACCTTAGAAACTAGAAACCAACTTAACTGTGTGAGCCTTGCTCTTCTTGAGAATACAAGGGAATAACAGAGCAACCACATAATTCCCCAAGAGATAAAGCTGCACTTGAATAACAACTTAAGATTGGCGTTTAAGATGCTTACACATTTCTAAAGGTGCCTGTTGCTCTTTAAGCAAAATTGTGCTTTGTGGCTATGACTCTGTATCAAGCAGAAGTGTTCCAACTATCAGGAGGGGCAGAAATGTATGCCTAGTGCTCTGCATTGATGCATGTGCATACATTCCCCAATGGACTTTGTTTTAAAATGAATACTTTTAAAATAGTATTTTCCTTGTTCAATTTACATTGATATCCATGTTGAATCCCATCTCCAGATCTCTCTGTCCAACCCCTTTTCACCCCACCTTCTTTGGAGAACCCGTGCACCAATAAAGAAAAACAAACAAAAAACTATACACACCTTACTTCCTGGTGTCTTCCATCCAGTCACATGATGTCATGAGTATTGTTAGTAGCATAGGGCAGATCCTGCACCTCTCTGTGCAGCATTCTTCTGTGAGTCCACTGGACACTGGACTCCATTTAACCCAAAAATGACCAGCTCTGGATTGTAGAACAGTATATCTGTGAGGAGTAGCGCTGGAGAGGAGGGGAGTATTGCAAGCTGGAGCTGATATTTTATCTTAGGAGCTGGGAAAGAATATTATTTTGAGTTGGTCTTTAAACTTATAAGGTTGCAGTATATTGTATAATTTTATATATAATCTATAATGCTATTCATAAATATAAAATTAATAAAACTTAATTTTAGTATTTTTCCAAGTTTAAGATGTTAAAGGATGTGTTTAACTATATTTTCCATTCAGCTATACTTCTTGCACACAAATATTCAGAACACTAAAACTTTTCCTACACTGACTATGGTCACTTGGTTAGTCTTTTGTCTGTGAGCCATGCCTCTGGCTTCCTTTTGTTCCCATCATTCTTTGTCTTTCACCCAGCATAGTCATCAGTCAGAATTAGATTTGAGTAGGGATGTAGACCTAGACTGATAAATTCAGCAGGGGTTTTTCAGCTGCTGCAGGCTGGGATGTTGCAGGGGTCAAGGTCACAGTGGTCAGCAGCAGCATGTATTTCAAAATACGCTGTGTTTACCCTTAAGGCTTATACATGTGCAAAGCTTTGTAACAGGCTTGTGAGTGTGGCCTGTAACGTTAACCCTTGCCATACAGCTCAATTTACAGCACCATCTTTTGTTGTGGTGGTCACTCTGTAATCGAATCTTGTGTTCAATACATCTGTGCCAAAATAACATTGAGCAATACATTTTTGTAGCTCAAATTTGCTTTCTGTCTTTTTGCATTTGATAAGCTTGGAGTGTTATTTTTATTTAACCAAATTTTAACAGTACTTTTTCACTACATAGATTTAAAATAATCATGCCTTTGACTGTATATAGTTCTTAGATTAAAGA